GGGGTGGGCACTGAATAAGTTCCCAGGTTACAGTATGGGGTGGTACCTCAGTGCTAGCCTCATCTTGCTCTTTAATTCCTCTGCTGATGAATGATGAGACTTAAAATCAGCAAAAGTTACATACTTGGTAAAGGATATGCCCAGAGATTAAACCAAGACAGCGAAGACTTTCTTTTTGGTCATTTTGAGATACTCTCTCTCTCTCTCTCTCTCTCTCTCTCTCTCTGTCTTTTTCTTCATTGTGAAATGCTCGTAGGTACTATGTAAGATACACAAAAATAGTGTTAAAAAGGATTTCAGAAAACTCATTACTTTTGGATTTTTAAAGTTAGTGAAATAATAGGTTGCACTTCTTAGAAAAAAAAGTCATGGATTATCAGGCATAGAAGCCCATGGGTGTGAACTAGATTGTAAAGAGACAAGTATTGTGGAAAACACTTTGTATTACAAGCTATGGTTTAATCCCCAGACAGAGCAACATGTACCACTGTATGCAGGTATTATGCATACCTGTGTCTGTGTATGCCTTCATATCCACATGCCTGTGTATGGCTGCATCTCTGTGTGTCTGTATATGCCTGCATCTCTGTGTGTCTGTGTATACTGTGCCTGTCTGTGTATGGATTCATATGTTCATGTGTATTGGTGTGTAGGATTTGTTTATTTATGTGTGTTTGAGGGTATGTACTTATTGTCTGTACATCTGCACCTATACACATGTTCTATATGTTTCTTTGTGTATATTTTTGTGTCTATGCACTCAGGCCTCAGGCACTGCCAGTGAGTTCATGCTTTACAATAGAGATCCTCCTTAGCTGACCTATACTTAAGCACTGCCCCTTGCCAGTGTGCTTCTTGAGTGAATCACAACATTTTTCTGATCTCAGTATTCTTGAATATAAAATGTCATGCTCAGTACTCCCATGAAACCAAAAGTACAACTAATAAGTTTTCAGCCATCTTCATATTAGCATTATATGTAATAATATATGTAAAAAATTTCTGTATTTTATTTTAGAAATAAAATTAATATATATTTCAATATATATTAGTTACTTCCCAGATAACCAGTTTTGGTGCCCACATTTAGAGCTGAAAGTATGCATTGTCCTAACTAACACTGTGAGTTCATGAGTTAGGCATACTTTTCTCCTCTTAACACAAGAGGGAATGAAGATGGGTGTGCATGTGCACACATGAAACAATATGCTGTCTTTCTGCAAGGTTGGCCTCTCTGTGACTTCCCACACCCTTCCTTAGCCAAAGGCTGAAGTGATGAATGACATGGATGCTGTGGAAATGACAGGAGCATCCTAATGGTCCATACCCAGGTTATATTTGCCCTGTATGCTGATAGTACCACTTCCACCATATTTAATTGATACTTGATTCTTAATGGCAACCTAAGAGTGCTGCTCTTGGCAGGGAAGCATAAGGAAGAAAGAAGAATCAGTGAGTAGGGGAACCTCAAATTGGATAGGTGGCAAGTTCTAGCTTCATTGAGAAGTGCATGTGTGGACACACCCTAAAAGGATCTGGTGGGACTTGGCTTGCCTTGAAAGGCTTTGCTAGCCTTTTAACTGATGCACAAGACTGCTTCTGGTCTACTACCAGGAAGCAACAGAAGGAGAATTGCTGGAACATGACTGTCTAATCCCTTTCTAATCTCCGGAGTCTCTTGAGGACTTTGGCTCTTCAAATACTCAACTGTCAGAACTTGGTAAGCAGACACATAATGCCAGAGCAAGCCCAGGTACTGAGCTATGCAGTTCAGGTGAAGAGGGAAACAAAATTATCAGCAAGTTGCTTTGAAAGGAGTTCTGATATAGTTAATAAAAAAAAAGAAAGAAAGAAAAAGAAAAAGAAAGAAAAAAAAAGAAGAAAAACAAGAAGGAAGCCAAATCCCATTTACAGAATTATCACTTTTGTTTAGCAAGACACATAGATTCAATTTTGTACAGAAAATTGCGAGGGAAAACAGGCTCTCAGCAGAGCCCTTCAAAGACAATTTAATATTTTTAATAAGGAAAATCTTTCTGATCCTCAACTATTTGGCCATGAAATCTTAAAAATCCAATGAAAGTCTGCCTTCAATAAAAGCTGCTTTACAAATTTTATTGTCTGAGAATATTAACATTCCCTAGGCAATTAAATTCACTTATAATTACAAACATTGCACTTTGAAAACTGTCTTTCATGTAATTTAATGTAATTTAGTGCCTATAAACTATGTGTTTAGTTTTTCAGCTCTTTTTTATCTCAAAATTGTAAATAAGGTCAATTAACCCAGGAAAAAAGTAAGTTTCTAAACATTGTCTGTTTCTAAGCAGTCATTTAGAAATACACATGCACACATAGGAATAGTACACACATACACATATAAATCTCCCATTAGAGTTGGGAGATTTCACACATCATTGATTACCTATTTTTCAAAAGATTTGGAGGTGGTGAATCATTACACATGTGCAATATTCTTGGAAGGATGCAAAGCTTCAGTCTACAGAGTGAGTTCAAGGCTAGGGTGGACAAGTTATTAAGATATTGCCTCAAATTTAAAAAATTAAGGCTAGAGATATAACTTAGTGAGTGGTAGAGAGCTTGCCTAGATAAGCAAAACCCTGTGTGCAATCTTCAGAAAACAAAAACATAAAAACCATTGGAGTTAAGACTCATGGAATGATGACAGCATGGTATCAGGAGAAGTGAGAAGGCTAGCCTGTCTATGCAAACAGGGTGGTAGCAATTTTCTTTACACTGAAAATTCTTTATCTCTTAAGGATGCTCACTAGAATATGGAGTCCTTTTCAGCAGATCACAGCTCAAGATAAGGGCTGAGGAGATGGGTCAAGTGTAAAGTGCTGAGTGACTGAGTGTGAGGATTGGGAGTTCCATGCTCAGTACTCACATACAGAGCTGGAAATGGTGGTGTGTAGAGCTCTTCAGGGATCCCTGAGGCACCTTGAGCAAGCCTGAGCTGTTGACTGGAACATTCTGCAGACTTAGCTGAAACATCTTGCCCCAGAGTTGTCATTAGTACTCGTCCTGATTTGCTTAACACACATCTGCTGGGGAGGAACTAAGCCTGAGAACTTGCACTCTTGATCCTGAATTGTTTTCCCACTGTGCTGTGAGTCAGTATATAAACCTGCTCCTTCCCCTCAATAAACCGCATTCCTGTTGTGAATGATCTGCAGTGCTGTCCTGTCTCTTATTTAAATCTCTAGGCCTTCATCTCCCCTGATTAATGGAACAGATTGTAGTGTGGGAGCTACAGTTGTGTGTGCTTGTGATACCAGCACCAGGGGGACAGAGACAGAAGTGTCCCAGGGGTTTGCTAGTCTAGCTGAATTAGTGAACTCCATGGAGGTCCAGTGAGAGACTTTGCTTCAAAAAAATAAGGTGGAGGGTGATTAAGAAAGACATTAGACATGGACCTTTGACCTTCAAATATTCACATACATGTGCATACATCTACACACACACACACACACACACACACACACACACACCCTTCTAGAGCTGAGCTGTTTCTCTGGAACTGTGTCCATCTACACAGAAAAGACAACTGAAAAGTGCTACATGGGAAAGTGCTGAATTCAGATTCCAGCTCTTTTAATGAAGGGAGTACCAACATCTTTATACTTGCTTTGCTGCATACCTGAGCATCAGCTGCATGACATTGGCATTATCCATAGCATAATCTCCCTTTACTATTTAACACTGCACCGTGTCATTAACTTAGAGCAGTCTTAATGTATTTGGCACACTTCCTAAAAGTTACTAAAATGAGTAAGAACATTAACCACTCTGTTTCTAGGAAAGCAAACCTGTCCTTAAATGTTCTAGTGATGGAATCATGTTCATCACCTGCACATTCCCTGTCTCCCTCCATAGCCTCAGTGTCCTCTATCCAAAGCTTGTGATCAGATACACATGAACTATATCTTCCTTGTTCTCTTCTCTACCAGAAAAGTAAACTCCTACACTAGAATTTAAGTATGAATAGAGTTGTCTATTTCATTTGCAAGAGCAATGATGGACACAGTCATACCATGAGCAGATAACCAGCACGGAGCTATCAAGTGCTTGCTTATACATACACAACAGAAGGAAACCCGGAATCTATTGGAAATGCTCCAACATACTGTTATGTTGTCTTTCATGTTGCAGTACAGCCAGCACTAATAATAAACAGCTACATTGTTTTGAAACCATTCTCTGTTCCCATAGCATTTGGGAGATCCGTCCAAGTCTTCTGTTACAGATGGGAAAGAGGAGGCTGTGACAGAAGCCACAGCTTAATGGCTAGTGATGATGCTGTTGCCATATTTTATGGCTTGGGAATCACTCAATGCTTAGAAATCCCTAGCTCTGTTGAGTGGCTGCAGGGAGATAAGTCTATGGGTACTTGGTAGAGAGAACTAATGTAAGTGGAGACAAAGAGCAGAAAAAAAGAAGGTAAAAAAAAAATGAAAGACAGTGTTCCTTCAGTGAACATCAGTGACTTCCTCTGTCCCTATATACAGCGAGAGTGGACAAGGCTTGACAGCAAAGGAAGTGCTGCACACTTTATTTCTAGCCCTCATACCCATTTTGTGGGCTAGTCTTAAAGAAAACCCTGCACTTTGCCATGCAAATGGTTACAATGTTCAATGCCATGGAAGGGATTATAAAACGATGCAAACAGTGGTGAAAATATTTTCATGTCTTTCTTTTCTTCCCCTGGATTTGCTCCTTTTTGGCCTTCGCTTGGCCAATGTGTGCTGCTTTCAGGGATCCAGACAAAAACCCCAAAGTTGGTTAAATAGCAAATTATGACACATATGGGTTTAAATTCAGCCTGTCTTCTCTCTAAGAGAATGATAAATGGATACAGGCAACAGATAGGCTCCTTTCTCTTAATTTTACCACATGTGGTGCTTTGCCAGTGGCAGAACCAGGAAAACTCAGCCAAGACTGGCCATTTGACCTCCTCACAGGGTACATAAGGCACTCACCAGCGCTGACAGTGATGGCTTCGATGAACTGTTCTCTCCAGCTGTTTGTTCCCACCACAAGGGCCAGGTTTGTCTTCTTAATGAGTTTGTCCACAGTGCTCTAGAAAGGGGCAAAGGGATAAGACAATAATTTCTGGGGCTGTGAAGAACTCAGTAAACCTAAAACCTTGCTTGGAAGCCTCAGAATTCTATAAAGGGGTAGCAGATGTCAAGCTCAGAAGAAAGGTATCCACATCAAACAATATTAAGATTGTGCTCCTTAAAATCATTCTGAAATGGAAACATCTTCACAGAGAAGTCTAGCCTCCTTCAAAGCTAAAGGCCAATCAGGAATGGCTACATTGTTTCTAACAGCAACTACATTGTTTCCAACAGCAGCTGTTTGAAAGGCCACCCATAGCCCTCAAACTGATCCCCTGAAGTTGATTCCCTTTGGCTTGTCTGTTACATGATGTCTGTAAGTGAATTGATATTGTTCAATATTTAGTCCTGTGAACATCTGAAAGGGACAGATCTGAAACAGAAGCCATATTGCTATATTTTTATCAGTAAAATATGTTTCAAGCAGGTTGCTTTCTGTATGATAATCAACAAATAGACAATTTGGTGGTGGGGATGTGGGGTGAAGACACTCAATTTTTCAGCTTGCTAATATTCAGGCAATTCTATTCTCTCTCTACTGCATTAGACAAAGAAAAGTCAACACTGTGGCTTAGGGCACACTGCTCATGACCTTGCATCACATTAATAGCAGGGAGGTGCATGCCCCTTCTTTTACTTTAGAACATATTAGGCAATTAGTTTTGTGCAATGAGTACCCTGCAACTTTCTAATTTTGCTTAATAAAACAACAGGACTTGCCAAGCGGTCACAAGAAGACTAAGTAAGCCATACAGTCAAAGCGCTACCACAAATCATGGCAACTACAGGGAGAAGGGACATTTCCAGGGCACCGAGGCTGCTCCTCCCAGAGAAACTACTGCATCAACTAGTCTACCACACACCCACACTTACTGTCAGAGCATCTTCCAATTTCCACTAATTGCAAAGAGGCAGAAAACACATATTATTTGCCTTTGGTAACGACTTGTACATGGTCAATGCAGGATACTACACTATGTTTTGAGAGAGCTAACTGTCTTGGCCGAGTAGGAGTTGAGAAAATACTATCTGAGGGTTTGTATGAGAGGCTAAAGGCAATTTATAATATCAAGCATATTAGTTTAAAACAAGTCATTGGAATTGACTTGAGACATTGAGAAAAAGACAGACATGAAAGGATCCATGTCTAACTAGCTCACTCTGTATTGGCAACATTAAATCTTGGTCAGCCATTATGTCCTTGGGTAGGGGGTGGTGACCACTCAGCTTCTTCCCTGGTATCCAGAACTGCTAGGGCTCCTGATAATAGTTCTAGCAGTCACTGCTGTTGGACACGATAAACTGAAAGACACAACAGGCCTCTGTCTTTTCTCTCTCAACTCAGCCACATCTCACCCAGTACTCTATGCATCTTGGCTAATGCCAAATTCAAAGCCCTGTGTGGAATGTAAGAAGAAATGACCTCAGTTTTTCCTACATGGAGTGGGAACTTGCAGTATATCTCTCCAAAGAGGACAGAACATACTGTACTACAGCCAGGGTCAACAACTCCCTCATCCCAGAGATAAGCAGTTGAACATGGCTCCAGCAGCTGAGCACAGACTTCCCCACCAAACGACTGCTAAAGATCAAACTTTTAAGAGAAATTAAACTTATTCTTTATTAACATGGGGAAACATAGGTATATATTTAAAATGTAGAAAATTTTAACCACAGGGGCAGAACCAATGTTTTTCTCCAAGGGCTAAAGTTGTACCTGGGTGGTTTGCTTCATTTATGTGAGAAAGGAGAGTGAATCAAGATGGATTAAAGTTCAGACAATATTTTCTATATTCATCTGGAGAGCTCTTAAGTGGTTAGTGACATTCAAGACATTATAGTCAGGCATTGGTGGCACATGCCTTTAATCCCAGCACTCAGGAGGCAGAGGCAGAGGCAGGTGGATCTCTGTGAGTTCAATGCCAGCATGCTCTACAGAGCAAGTTCAAGGACAGGCTCCAAAGCAATACAGAGAAACCCTGTCTCGACTAAACAAACAAACAAACAAACAAACAAAAAGACATTATAAACACCTCACACTAGACAGTGAGTATTAGTAAAGGGTGCCCCCAAGATGACCATTAGGTGTTAACAATGATATGATTGTGTTTGTAAACTTGAGGATGGGATACAAAGTTATTCTAGAAAGTTAAAAAAAAAAATCAGACAAGCAGACTTTATATGTAAAGAAACTGGAGACCAGGGAGGCTTTCCAATTCTAGATTGTGGCATCATACCAGAGAGGGCTCTGTCTGACTAAGACATTTTATTTTATTTTATTTTATTTTTGCCAGGAAACATTATCTAACCTAGTACTTTACTAAGAGGCTGCTACTACTGCTCTTTACATGTCAGGTGCCTGGGAAAGCAAGCAAGCCTGGGCATCCTCTAAGGTAAAGAGTACACATACTCTATAAAAAGCACTGGAGTGAATTAGTTCTAGAAATGGCAGTCTCTGTTGTGGCAAGTGACACTGAACCATTTGGTTTCCACTGGGGGGAAAAATGTTGTAGGAGGAAGAGTGAAGTTGGATTCACATGGACACAGAGTAATGGAGTGGGCAACAGAAATTGATAGGCTGCGTTTCAGGGGAGAATACATGAACTTATGCATTCTCTCTTCACATGCTCAATGAGCCAGGCTCAAGGATATGCCATGCTGGGCTCTGAAAGTGGGATCTTTCCTGAAATCTTCATTCCACTGTTTACCCTTCTTTCAATGGGTGTGAATGGAGAAACACACTAAGAGGTAGATTCTTAGTGGCCTGAAGAAGGTTTAAGTGTGTTTTTATCTTTTAAAACTTACAGAGATCTACAAGGATGACCCCAACTAACAATCTAAGCAATAGTGGAGAGGCTATCTTAAATGCCCTTCCCTGATAATGAGACTAACTACTACCTTATATGCCATCCTAGAGCCTTCATCTAGTAGCTGATGGAAGCAGAAGCAGACACCCACAGCTAAACTCTGAGCTGAACTCCTGGAACCCAGTTTCAGAGAGGGAGGAGTGTTGAGCAAAGGGGTCAAGACCAATTTGGAAAAACCCACAGAAACTACTGACGTGAACTAGGGGGAGCTTATGAACTCTGACAGCTGGGAAACCAGCATAGGATCCACCCAGACCCTCTGACCATGGACGTTAGTTAGGAGGACTGGGCAGTCTGGTAATGGATCAGTATTTATCCCTAGTATATGAATGGATTTGGGAGCCCATTTCACATAGAGGTTTACTCCCTCAGCCTAGACACATGGGGGTGGGGAGAAACTGTGCCTTGCTCTAAATGATATGACAAACTTTGAAGACTCCTCATGGAAGTCTGCTCCCTGGGAATCAGAAAGGGGATGAGATGGGGGTTGGTGGAGGGAACAGGGGAGGATAGGAAGGGGTGGGAACTGGGATTGACATGTAAAACAAGCTTGTTTCAAATTTAAATGAAAAAATTATCAAAAAAGTTCCAATTTAATTGCAAAGACACCTTTTAACATACTACCTGCCAGGGATGTCAATTTGGGGATTAGATTTAATGAACCAACAAAAGGAAAAGAGGCAAGTATTATTAAGATCCATGTAGGATTTTGAGGCTTCTATATTAGCCTGCTTCTATGTTTTTCTTTGGTTGTTTGAATAGGCATCATCTCCTTTTGAAAAGTAAGTAAAGAAAATATTGTTCTGCTCTGGGATTGTAATTCTGGTTATTACAAGAAGCCCCTTATCCCATTGCACAACTGAAATTAGCTCCACCTTAAGTACCCTTAGATACTAAGGATCTGTGTAGGGAATGGGGTGGGTGGGAAGGACTGGAGCAGAGCAGTGGGTTAGCAGGGACACAGAGGAAGTTTCATCCCATGTATCTAACTCATAAAAGAATGACATCTATTACTGGGAAAATTTTAAATCTGGGCTGAGGATGTAGCTCAGTGGTACAGTGCTTGCCTGACATATGAGAATCCCTGGGTTTAATACAAAGTACCCCCCTCCCAAAAAATGAAGTAGCTAATCCAGTCTTATCAGCTCATGAACAAACTGTATAGTTGTAGACACTGCAACTTTGGTAGGCAGTGCTAAATAGCTTAGATATAAATGACCATTCTTCCAAACCACAGCCTTTGAATTTCCACATGGCAAATACTTGGCTTTTTTCTCATGCACAAGAATCTCTCAAAATCTACTTTTGTAGCCTCCTTTCAGATGAATCCCTTCCTTCTGGGGTCAGTTCTGACTCTGTCACAGTGCGAAACAGCTGCTGGACTCCGGTTCTGATGCTGTTTACTGTACAGGATTTCTTGGTTCTCTGCTAACTCCACAATTTCAAATTAGATCTGACAGCCTTTTAGTGAATGAGCCTGTACGTGAAATCACATTTTCCAGTATCTCCAGAAGGCTCTTACAGCACAGGCCACAACAAACCAACCACTATGAACAAGCTGACGGGCCAGGCAGTGTGGACAGACGTACCTTGAATTCATAAGACTCTTCAATGATCACCTCCAGCTTGGTGTGCTCTCCCAGGATGGGGCGCCCCATTTCTGCAATGCGCCTCTCCTCCTCCTCTTTGCTAGTCAGTGGCTGCTTGTCATCATACTCATCTGGGAAAGGAAAAGCAAGATTGTGAACAATGTGTTCCTTTATATTTGCAAGTCCTAGGATCCTACTATATGAAGAGCAGGGAGGAAGGATGCCCAATTAAAAGTATCTTGGGAGAGATGGTGAGACTGAGTGGAGGAGAGAACAGAGCTTTCTGGATGGGGTAATGCCACACTGAAGCAGCAGATGATGGAAATACAGGACCAGTTTCATCTCATGTGAAATCACGGAGTGGGAAATGCCATGTTCTGGGCATGAAACTGAGAGAGACCCTACTGCACATCATCTGTGCTGAGGGAGTCACCCAGCTATTCTCTGTGAAGGTGTCCAGTTTAGCAGTCTACACACATTTTTTTCCCCAGCAAGAGACCAAAGGGAAATGCAATTAAAAGTCTTAAAGTGACCGTGAGGGATGTGAGAGTTTGGTCTTCTCCTTTCAATTTTCCAGAGGTATCAGAAAATGCCTCAGGGGGCCAAAGAGACATGGAAGGGAAACTCTGATCTTAGCTTTACCCTTGGCAAGAGTCCCTGTCACAGGTTCAATTCCAAAACATCCATTTTATGTTTCCCTGAGATGGCTGGGCCCCAGTGCATCCTCTCTGGTGCAGAGGCAAAATATATTAGGAAAGCCTTGACCGTGTTAATCTTAAAGCAAACAAAGAGGGTGAGGGTGAGGCCTTTGGGGAGCTAATATTCTCTGTGAGCATGATTATTTCCAGACCCACCAAGTAGCTCTCATTCTAGGAGAGGTGGGGGGTGGAGGGTGCTCAGAAATGAGTCAATAGACAAGGAGAAGCTCACAGAGTTGTCTCTCTCTGCATGGAGGTCAATGGGATAAATCCAGCTGAAAAGGCCAACCATATGTGGAGGGCAAACATTTGTCCTGTAATCACCCTTGTCCTTTAGGTCCAGGATGCTGGGAAATGATAGGCTACTTCCTCAGAGCCAAGACAAGCACTCATATCCAGGGAGACAGTGGTGTTGCTATGGAAAAACCTCCATTCCATTCGGAGGCCCTCACCTCCAGGATATATGGGCAATTGCTTGTGAGTGGAGTCTGTTGTCTGAGTCATCCAGGCTGAGAAGGACTGGCCTTTTGTTCAGGCTTCCTGACCTGCCTTTTGCATTTCGACCCCAGCTTTAGCAGGGGTTCGTACCTTCTATTTCCTGCAAAGAGCCGTAGCTTCTCCTCTGCTCTGGAATCCTATTATAGTTGGTTCTATTTATTGAGCTAGCAATTGTTTCAAGGGGATGATTTTTGGCTAGCAGTCTACTGTGAGGACTGGGGTTGGGAGATAGAGGTGCTGGAAGCATGGCTAGCACCTTTGATTTCATGTGTCAGAAGTAATGGACGGCAAAACTGCAATGTAGCTGCTGACATATTTTTTAGCATGTATTTAATAATGTATTCTAAAACAATGCATTTTAAATCACCAGTGGTCTGTAATCCCACCAAATCAAAGAAAAATAAAAATAGGTTATTCAGCCTGCCGAGAAGCAATTGAACATGAGCAAAAGCAAATCGGAGAGAAAGGGAAATTAACTGTAAGGGTGGTAAGGTATTTTGTACAAGGATTGGGAATTTATAAATCAAGGAGAGGCAACTATTAGAGTCTCCAATATTGTCCTTCTGAAATCATGTGTTCTAGTGAAGGGGGTGTGTGGACTTGTGTGAAGCTCATTTACCTACTGTTCAAATCAATCATCACTTGGTCAGTGCTTTTTGGTCTTTGGACCAGTCCTTCAGGTTGATTTTGTGTCTTTGTCCAAGTCTCTGACATACACTGAATAATGATGACTTCTCTCAAGAGAATTACTGCCTCTTAGATATCTATTTGAAATGCAAAGCTATGTGTGGGAGAATATTTATTGTGACAATCATTTCCATGATTTAGCTTACAAAGGATAAGTTGTTTGGAATGGGACTCAAGGTAAAAAACAGAGAATAGTTAGGGAGGGAAATTAATGTAGTGGGATTGTTCAGGGAAGCATCTCACACAATGAAATGAATCTGAAACATGGTGTTAAATACATGGGCATGAAAATAAATGAAATCAAATCATCCTATGAGTGAAAAAATGTCCCCACCCAAATAATTCAGTCTTTCTGGTCATCAACAAAAACATAGTTTAGTGTACCCAGGTCAGGTCTATAACTACTTCCCAACATCTGCCATTCTTTCATTTAGGATCAAGTATACTTGACTAGCTAGAATTCAATGACATTCCTTTCATTGAAATAAAAAAAAATATTTTCTTCTTATGGCAAAATAGTTTTTTTGTTTTGTTGTTTTTAATTAGGTAAAAGACAAGGTACTTAAAAATGTCACAGTATGTAAATTACAATTTGCTTAGTATTCAACCTTAACAAAAATCTCTCCAGAAGCTGAAGTGTGGATATCTCATCTTACCAGTATTGATTTTTAATATAAATCAATGCTAGGGAACATGTTTCTACATCTTGCTATGCTCTTGCTCTAAAGTATGGGCTTACCCATTATGCAATCACCCAAAATGCTCCTTTACCCTCATTTAGTTATATTAAAGTGCCTTGTTCCCTCAGTATACCAACTGACAACTGGAACTTAGTAAATATCATTCAATTCCTTAATATTTATCATGTGCTGAACATAAAAAATATCATATGGCTTCTGGATTATTTTAAATTATCTTTACATACAAATACCTGGTCTGTATGTAGACTTTGAGAGCTAGGGTATACCTCAGCACTCTTTGGACTGTCTTTACTTGTATCTAGTACAAGGTACAGAATGTCAAAAAAATTACTCAAGTATTTGTTATGAGATTCTTCAAGTTACCACTAGTAATATTTTTCACTTGCTCATTTTATTTTAAAATAAAAGGACCATCCATTATTTAAGCACATGCTATCGTTTTCTTAGAATATGTCATTACAGACATAGTCCTCCTCTTTCTTCAGCTATCTTCCAGAAACTTCTTGTGTAGTGGGGAAAGAGGCACATGAGTGAAAAACTAGAATCAGTTTGGTGGTGACTGACAGAGAAGTGTGGGAAGAATCTTCCGCATATGGGAGTCATGGAAAGCATCAGGCTAGAGGATTCATTTGAAACTACCTTTGAAGTGTGTAGAGAGCTTGCCTGGTGTGTGAATATGATGATAAGGATGACTAGGAGATATAGAAGTGAGTGGTCATAATTCAGGCATGGTAGATACAGCATCGTGGAAAGGTCAGGGCTATTTTCATTTGATGAGGATTATGTAAATCTAAGAGACAGTTATAGTTATTTGTACTTGAGAGATGAAAAATGGATACATCTTATGGCTCATCTATAATTGCGGTGATATATTAGCAGTTGATGTAGAATTTTGATGAATAGAATTGAGTCTTTTTTTTCCCCTTAGTGTTTTCCTTAGATGTGCCTTTATTAAATAGGGAAATGGTTCAACAGAATTTTCAGAGTCAATTACTTTATTTGTTTCTTCCTCTCTTTGAATGAGTAGATCAAAAACAGATTATTTTATTGTAGCCTAGGTCACTTTATTTCCTTATGTAGGCAGCATGAGAACATGACAGAGTTTTGGTTCTACTTGTTAGAGCTAAATAATTTTCTCTGTGCCCAACTCTGGGTCTTATTGTCTCTCTTTTTATGTACATATTCATACTTGTAAAGCTCACCAGTTTAATTGTGACATTGTATGTAGGTATAGGATATGCAATGTTACAATCTTGACCATTGTATATAGGATATACAATGTTGCAAATCTTGACCATTGTATACAGGATATACAATGTTGCAATCTTGAACACTGTATACAGGGTATAAAATGTTGCAATCTTAACCATTGTATATAGGATATACAATGTTACAATCTTGACCCACCAAAACAATATAGAGGCACTGTGTATTATCAGCAACCATGGCTGAAAACCAGTGTTGTGAGGACACAGAGAATCCCCAGGATAAAAATCACCAGAATGCACTCTTTGTTCTTTATAGTGATCGGCTTTTATAAACAACAATAAAACACATTTGCTTTAGGTCTCTGAGTTCTGGAAACAGATGAATTATGTAAAGCTGCTTGCAAAGCTTCCTGGTTGAAGCCAGATCTTGAAGCAGTGTCATCGTGATGAAGGGGTGAGAGTGGGATATTCCTTTTAGAGGACAGTGTCGCTCACATGGCTAGTTCAATACAGAGGTCTGTACCAAGGAGACAATGTCATAGCTTTCTTTTCTTTTTTATTTTTCTTTCTCTCTCTCTCTCTCTCTCTTTCTTTCTTTCTTTCTTTCTTTCTCTTTATTTATTTTAATCCCAACAAATAATATAGAACTTAGAAAGTAGGGGAAAGGCCAGCAGCGGGAAAGTCTTACTTTGGCTCTTTGTCCAGAACTATATGCATAAGCCTGAAAACACAGGTCACTTGACAATGTTTCAGCTCCAGCTGGCCTCTTAGGTTAGAACTCAAAAAGATTTCCATTTTTAGTCCTTTGAGGAGTATCATGAGAAAAATCTGTAGTTGTAGCTTAGAATTATGATTGTTTGGTGGAGGTATGGTTTGTGAGGGGGAGGCAGGTCAGGTCAGGTAGAAGTATTTCCAACCACTGAGGTCAGTGATGGGCAGCAGTAATGACTGAAGGAGAAGGTACTGCTGTTCTTAGCTATAGACTCCCTGCTAGGAGCTCACTCGTAAAACATAAGGCCTCAGTGGATCCCAGAGAGCTCTGTGACCCTTGAGTTGCCCTGCTAACATTTCTTTGTTTCCTTGTACACCAGGAAGTCACATTTTGGTAGGAAACACAAATTGTTTTGATTTTACATTAAAAAAATATCATTACACCTAGATGAAAACTGAAGTGTAAAAGAGATATTTGTAAGAAATCTAAAACATATAGAAATCCGAGATAAAGAAGGCATTGGATCAGCCTCTCTCTAGGTCCATATGATCTCTCCAGACTGCCTTCGGGTTTTGATCAATGACAGTATCCCAGGTGTCACTTGTCAATCAGCAATATTTCAGAAGGCCCGGGGACTGACATCTACAGTTGTAATTAATAAGGAGTATACCTGAAGGCAGTGGTTTTCAAAGCCCACAGGGAAACGAGTACCTGAAATGCTGATTACAGTGGAGGGAAGCGGATGATCTCTAGCATGAACCTTCCTGAAGACAGGTTGGCCTAGCAAAAGGACAGGCAGAAAATCAGCAGGATGGATCACATTGCTTTGCTCTCAGTGACTTTTGAAGTTAGTAAGCTAAAAAACAGCACCCAGACACACACACTGCAAGCCATGTTAGTATGGGTGGTTATAGTTCCACCCCTGTAGGCCACAGGGAGAATTTCTGGTGGTTACCAATAGAGATTACCACTCACAAATGGGGGCAAATGTTCCATAAGCCAAACCAAACCATGCTTGATTAAGGTTGATGGATGAGATAATGAACCTCTTTCCTTGTGGTAAGAGGTAGAATCAGTCTAGCACGTGTTTGAAATGGATGAGCCAGGTCCTTCAATTACTGATTACAGAGGCATCATCAAACAACTGAAAGCACTTGGTGTAATGACATGTGTGCTGATTTTGAGGCCTATTAGTGGCATCTGTATAGCCCTTAGCAGGCTATCTTTTCTGTTTTCCCACATATAAAATGCAGGTCGGATCAACTCCATTTATGTCACATATTTCTTTGAAGGTCAGGGAATATAAAACCCTTGTGAAGGTGCTCACTACATCCATTTCCTGTGCAGACTGCAAAGTGTCATATAGGCTTCCATGGAATAAGGACATGTCATTATCAGCCAATTTCCATTAACCAGGACCTTGGATTACATTGAACTTCTTGTTCAGGTAGTTGCCAGCACCCGCTGCTTTTGTCTACAAAGATCTACTGAGAATTAAACTGAGAATCTTGAGACTTGGTCCCAGGACCAGGTCTCTGCCACTGGTTTTCCATTTAAATGCGGACAAGAAGTTTCGTCTCTTGGAGATGCAGTTTTCTCAGTTGTAACATTAGGCAAACTTTGATGGAGCGGCTTTGTCCCTCTAATCCATACATTGGTGTGGTGGAAGTGTTCTCATGTGTCAGGTGTTAGGCCCTTTTAAATTGACCGGCATTGCAAGTCTGTTACAAGACCACAAAATGAATGATTGGAAGAACAACATTAAAGACATATATTGAGTGTCATGTAATTTTAGGGAGAGCTATAGCTGTATGTCTTAGAAGTTTTAGGGGAACCAAATACACCTTCATAGATTTTTCCAAGATACTGGATTTTATTTAAAAATATCTCTATGTGTTCTAATTTTCCCCTTATGGGCATTTCCATTTATGTTTCCTTTGACTATCATTCATAATGATGACTTTTTATAAGATGAAATTGTACTTTAGAGTGATAAAGAGTTCAATGTATAATATCAATAAGAAGGGAAAATAAAATGGTTTATACCATTGGACCAGACAAATGACAGGGTTAGTGGTAGGATAGTCATCAAAGGGCCTTTTACGTAGAGTCAGAAAGGTGGTTGTTACTGTCTTAGATGAGTGGTTCGGGGTAGATTAATCTTTTTAAACTTTTTTTTCTTCTTCCTGTAAGTGTGCACAACAATATAGTCCAAAGAAATGGTAATAAAATAATGTTCATTATAAACTCTAATGAGTTATAATGTTATCATAAAACCACAAAGTTGGGGGGGGAATGAGATCATAGATTCAAACATAGGTCTTTCTGTGAGACAAGGGCTAGAATAGCAGGTGAAGATTTGCAAATTTCAAAGGCACCTCCAGCATTCAATGTCTATTACTAACAAGGTCTCTAAAATATTGGTGTATTGGTGTGAAGCTGAAGACCAAATGGTTTTCATTTGTTTGTTTTGTTTTGTTTTCTTTGTTTGTTTCCATATATACAATTTCCAAATTCCACATCCATAATCATCCCTGCAAATTCATGTAAAACCTGCAAGCTAAGTCCAAAGGCTACACTAATTTTTCTCTTCTTCCTTGCACCTCAAAGCCTTGACTTCAAATCCCCAATGTGGCTTCAAAGAGAACTCTTTAGGCCTTATTGCTGCTGTTCACTGTACAGACCTAAGTTGCAGACGTGTTTTAGAGGCATCAGTAGCAACTGAACCCTGTGATTTCTGGTTTGATTAGAGAAGAAGGAAATAAAGTGAGATAGTATTCAGCTAAGTAACAATTAGAATAATGTGGAAATTTGAAGTATGTCCTGGAATAGTCTCCCATTCTAACTGCACTGGCTTCTATATTAGGAGATGTCAACAATGGACAGACTTCTACTTTTGGTTAAGTTTCAGTTGTAGGGGGACCCAGTGAGCTACTTATATTGTAGAAACTTTCTGAGAAAGTGATTGTATTATGTCAGATGCAGGATACGGATGGCCAAGGCCGGAGATGCTGACATGAGGGTTCTGGGAAACTTTATGGAAAGGATTTGTAAGAAAAGCAAAAAGGGGATCCTGCTAACTGAGGCATTAAAAGGGAGGGTAGTTCAAATATCATGGAAAGAAAGCCTTAGAAATGGAACCTTCCCCTTACATATGTAATGCAAGATGGCCAAAGACATAGATGCACTCTTAATAAGGTACTCTGAACTAAAACTGTGTAAAGTCTCACGAGGTTGCATAGAATGAAAGGAACAGCCACACAGTAAGTTATTTCTGGAGACTATGGTTGACTTTAGAAAGATAATCTACAAAGTCATGAAGGTAGGCAAAACAAATTTCTCCCATCTTCAACTCTCTCTCAAGGGGAGCTCTTCACCCTGACAGAACTGGAGTATTTACAAGATGATGTCAGTGATCTCAGATCTCAGTGTATCCATACTTAGATGCATGAACAAGCCTTGGAGGGCAGAGTCTGGGAAAATCTGACTTGGGAAAGGCTTGACTGGTTTGGATTCAGGGCTTTCTGTAAGAAGACTACCCTATTTAACATTTTAGGTTTTTTTTCTAATTTCTGTGTCTCTGAGCATCTATGAGTCATTCTGTCATTTACTGCTGTGTCTAGAGATGAATTGGGAACAGTCATCCATATAGAGCCCTTCCATACAGAAATGCCATGTAAAAAAGTTCCACTCTGGGCAGAAACACTTTGGTACTCACTATCCTTGAGTTAATACTAACAGTGGCTGATATCAACCCCCATGCGTACTACAGCATTTTCATTACTATAAATGTTGGTACTATTTCCTTCTTTTTTTTTCTTCTAGCTTTTGGATTAGTATTTCCATGATACATCAGAAATTTTTGGTGCTTGCCTAGCATATTGCAAGAAGCCACCTAAGAAGTGGGTCACTAGAGACATTTTCAGCTTTCAGCTTCAGACAAGTTAGAGCCATTATTGGGCAGTCACCTTCCTCTCTAAATCTACAAAATCATTGTGAAAATGTGAGAAGGTATGCAGGGTTAAAAGATGCTGCAAAAGGAATGGTTTCCACTTGTGCACAAGGAACTAGCTTTAGAGAGGGAAGTACTTTGGAATTAAAGCTTTAAGCTTTCTCATTGGGATCTTGAATGTGTATGTAGCACATTGCAATGCACCTCATGTGGCAGAAATAGCTTGTTACTATGTTTTTAGCTCTAAAACAAAGTGCTCAAAGAAGGGCTTGGGTCATAATCCTCTCCTAATGTGGCATTATCTACTTTGGGGACTCTAATGATCCTTGGCCATGGAGTTTGTGTAGTTATCATAGCCACCATCTGAGGCCAGCTATCTTCTCTTACTCTGGAACACTGTGCAGATTAGTATCAAGATACGAACAGTTAGAGTTTTCTAACTGTGAGTTTTCTAACAAATAAACATGACTCTCATAGGCTGTTATTAATGTGTAAAAATGTTAATGTGTAAACATGTTATTTGTAAAATCAGCAAGAGGATAGTATGGACCACAGTTCCATATTAATTCAGGTTACATTTGGTTTGGTATTTAGGCATTATCTTACCATATAGGCACTTTCCTTAATTAAAAAGAAATAAAACAAGAAAAAATATTTTTAAAAATGCAATATACTGACAGTGACAGTAAAAGTATAATTATGTAGTATTCGAGTTGAAAAATTCATACCTGTTAATGTGAAACCACCTAAAAAAGAAAAAAAGAAAAGAAATGTCATAATTTAATTTACATTACAAGTAAGAATTATTACTGATGTAAGCTGCTGATAACCCACCTGAGTTACACAAAAACTTGCCAGATTTATTATTAAGAGGGATATGAGAAGTCCAGTTATAACTGAACATACTCTTTTAAGATTATGCAATTTAGTGCACAATCACAGTTCTTGTAGATACCCAAGGAATCACTGTTCCTTTAAAGCTTATATACACTGAATTTAAAATGTGATATGGATGATGTGGCTTCAGCTACAATGAGACCAGTAGTCTTAAATGAAAATCTGGCCAAACTACAGACAGAGATAATAATCAAGAGTTATAGTATCATCTTAGAGAAATAGAAAATAACCTATAAAAATGGGAAGGAAATGCAAGAAATGAAATGCTTACCAAGCTCATTCAATAACAGGGCTGTGAAGGAAACGGACAGAGACAAACACAGAATAAGAGACCAAATGAATAATGAAAGAGGAATATTAGCAGAAAGAAATCCAGGCAGTTCTTACTAGAGCGGGGAAACCCTTGCATATATATATATATATATATATATATATATATATATATATATATATATAAATGTGCACCCCAAGGGAATGCATTGTTGGGGACATTTCCAAATAAATAACCCCAACAGGAATATTTTTGTTTGACTGATAAAACAAAACAAAACAAAACATATCCTTATATGTCTCTGTGTATCTCCTAAGATATTTCTCCCACAGTTGTCGACATATAGTGCTTACAAAATATGCTGTGACATTGGAGAAGGTAATCTTTAATTGGGTTTGTGGGTGGGATTCTCCTTATAAATATTGTCTGAGAGCTAATAAATCACATGTTTGGAAGTCTTTAGAGACTAAAGACCTCAGCTATCTTCCATGAGAACATGTAAAAGTCCCTAGAAAAATCCATTGGCCTGCCCTCCTGGAAGGAGCTTTTAGCCCAGGTAAAGTTCTCTTTGCATATTTTACTTAGTAGATATTTTGACTCCCCCCAAAACTGTCTATGCTATTTAAATTCTCAAATCATAAGAAGTCCTAAATTGACATGTTTATTAGTAACTTCTACACATTAACAGACTAACCAGAATACTTTCTGGTGGGTATTTAACTCCAGAGAAACTGACAGGGTGAGGAATGTGAGACAGTCTATAATCTAGCTTTTTAGATCATATTTTTTAAATACAGTTGGGACCACAGCACTTTATTTTAATAAAAGTTAACCTGCTAAGCAATTCAAATTAAAGGCCTCCTGGGTTGTCTACAGGAATATGACAAGTGCTTGTTTTCAGCCCAGTTTTCCCTGTACCATGGTCTTGGAATTAGAGGGAGCCTAGGAAAACAAAGTCAGTAAGTTTACTCATACTGCGAAGAATTCATTTGGCTGGTATGAAATGGGAGAACACCATCAAGGAATTTTAATTTGCTTCTATATGAGGACATATTTCACAAAAACGACAGTCGAAAGAGCTGCATGCAAGGCGACACTTCTCGAGATAAAAGACAGCTCTTTGGAGGAAAACACTCAGAAATAAATGCTTCTTCCTGGATGCCAATGAGACATCTTTGATCTCATCTTTGTAATACATATTTTTTGAAGTCTTTTTTCTTTCTGTTTACTGACAATGGGTTCTTCTTAAACAACTTGTATTAAAATGAGTCCCAAGTGTGCCTTTCTGCATCACTCCTGTTGCCATTTTGGACTTAAATCAAGTATATCAGGAAAAACAATTTTTTTTTTGCCTCAGATGGACTCTGAGGTCTCAGAATGGGAGATTGTATTTCCCCAAATTGCCAAGTCTATATGCCATATATATTGCATTTCTTACCCTGCATTTAAAAGCTAGAATAAACTTCTCTTTCTTCTTTGTGAAAAGAAGCTCATATAAAGTAGGGAAAAATTAGGGAACGGAATTGACTTCTCTTTGCAAATGTTTCCTAAAACTGTGAGAACCAACAGAATCCAATTATAAAATTCTCAAAGAATTAACAAAAAAAAAAAATGTCATTTAAAAATCTAGTTGTAAGAATAGCACTGTTCAATTTTTTTGTTACCATTCATATTCAAATTGTGTTAATTCTATAAGTATCAAAAGATTTTAGAGTATGGTTAGGATTAGTGTAAGACAGGGTTAAATGTTTACAAGGGCCTGTGGCCCTTTAGCTACCGAAACTGACCTCATACATATGACTGTGGTTTCATATGTATGGTATTTTATATGTTAGAGTTTATTATTATTATTATTATTATTATTATTATTATTATTATTATTATTGAGATAGGGTCTTGCTATGTAGCTCAGGCTGCCCTTGAGCTTTCAATCTTTCCACTTTGATCTCCCAAGTGCTGGAATCACAGGAGTGTGCCATCATGTCTAGCTTTATGGCTTCTTCTAAAGGATATGTTTGATGATATGGAAAATACAAAGTAAGTACATTAGCTTTTTGACAGCAAGAGTCATAAGGCTCCTTGTTCTTATTAATTGCTTTTTTAAAAGCTGGGGCTGGACAGATCGGCACACACCTCTCAGTACTTTGGAGGTAGAGGCAGGAGGATCAAGAGTTCTAGGTCATCGTCAGCTACATACTAAGTTCAAAAGCCAGACTCAGCTTCAGGAGACCCTGTCTCAAAAGTACAAAAAGACAAAAAAACAAAGCAACCTTCTCCTCAAACCAAATTCTCTAAGAAACCTGATCACTGAATTTTCTGTAATTTCTTATAAATTGCTATTCGGTTCATGCATGTCTACTATGAACTTTTAGGTAGGTTTCCTTTTCCATATACTTTTATCCACAAGGTATGTCAGAGTGAACTTTTGCAGCCACATTTTTATGTGGTTCTGAGGTAATGAAAAGTAGAACACCCTCTCTTATCGCCTGACTTCTGAATTAAAGAATTTCTTCCAGCATTTGTTAATATTTAGCAAATTCTTGTTGCAATGAAGGTTAGTCAGCCCTTCCTAAAGACAATGGCAATTGCTTGGCTAATCCACTAGGGAAGGGAGATGAACCCCGCTAAGTTTCAAAGGCAATGGCATTTAGTACTTGAAGCCAAGGAAGAGGAGAGAGTTAAGTGTGAGAGTAGGGAGACACGGAGAGGGAGAAGAGAACAGGTTCTCGCCAGTATGTCTTTGTATACTCTCACACCTTTCATTCCTCTTCTTATCCATTTTGGTTCCTCAAGCACAAGGGAGAAACTGCAATCTTTCTCATATTCCTCACGATCAAATATTCTAATGGTAATGATCTTCCTGTGGGGACACAAGACAAAGGCAAAACAAATGGTTGGAGTCACACGCTCATGCTCTAGATGTCCACCAAGCTGAATGTTATTGTGATGTTAACGGAGGGAGAATTGGCAGCACATGACCTTCGGGCATATGTAAAAGGGCATCTTGGGGGCTCTTTGCTGGTCTCCACTGAGGTTTCTGCGTTAATGGATTACTTGCATGAATCTGCCTGCTTCTTCCACAATTACAAATTAGGATGACAGAATTTGGACATTGCATAATATTAGTGCCAATTTCCCCAGCTATGGAGGCTTGATTGATTGTGCCCCAAATTAACTTGCAGTCCTGCATGGTGCACAGTGGCCATGACTGGCTGTTCTGTCCCCACCGCTGCCAGGGTGAGAGCTATGCCCTGTTACATAGTGGAGGCATGTGTGCGTTGTGAGTCATGTTCTGAAGGATGCGGGCGTCCAGGGAGGCACAGGCCAGCAGAAGCTGTTGGACGCAGCCCTGGAGCAGCTCCCCCACCTTTCTTCTCACTCATCTCCACCAGGCGGGGTTCTCCAATCTCAATGAAGAAGGTCTTGTTTTTCTCATACTCCTCATCATCAATTACCTTGACTGCAATTGTTTTGCTGAAACAAAGAAGAATAGAAATTGACGAACTGGGGAAGAAGCATGCAAAGGGACACAGGCAAGAGGAAAACAAGGTTAGAGAAGTCATTGAAAACACAGTTCCTTTCCCAGGGCCACAGAATTAACTTGGACAAGTACAGTTCTCAACATGAATAAGGTTGTCATTGGTATGCAAAAGAAAAGCAGAAAAGCAGACTACAGTAAGGAAAGAAAAAAAATACTTATTAAAGTATTGGACTCTGGTGTTGTCTTAGCTGTGACAGCAAGTTGTTGCTTTAGAAGAAGTTAATAAAGCACAGTAGGGCCAATGAGACTCTGCAGTGGGTAAAGGCACTTGACAGCCAGATTGATGGCTTGGGTTTTGCCCACGGAAACCACCTGCTAGAAGGAGGGAACTGACTTCAGCACGTTGTCCTCTGACCCTCACTCACACGCATGGCAGGTACACCCCCACACATGTATGCACACATGCATACCCTCACCCCTCACACTTGCACACATAAATAGATAAGGGGAATAAAAACACAATAAAAATATTGACAGAGATGTTATTCGAAGTGGTGGGTAATTTTCCCTATCTCTGTGTTTTATTTTATTTCCGAGCATAATATTACATTTTTTATTACATCATTTTCCTTCTTTTCTTTTCTTCCTCCAGACTTTCCCAAATACCTCTCAGTACCTTAAAAACATTCATGGCTTCTTTTTCCATTTACTGTTGTGATAATATATATTATATACATTATATACATGTATAATGTTACTTGAATATATAACTTTTCAGGGATAATTATTTGGTATTGGACAACCAACTGGTGTGTTTTCAAGCATAATATTTTTGTCATTACATTTTATTTTGATTAACACAACATATGTGTAAAAGCATTATAGAAGAGAATGAAGTCTCTTTTCTCTTTCTACCCTAGGGGCTTAGAATCTAACTTATTTAAGTTACTTGGAAGTTGTTCTTATTTTGTTTGCATTTCTAAAGATAGAAACTGTACAGCTGTTTCAAAAGTGTGTTGCCAGTGGAAGGGACAACTGCTGATGTAATTATTTCCATTCCGTGCCAAGCTGAATTTCAACTTTCATTAAGCTACGGCATTTACACTTCTTTTCAACTTCATAAATACACTGTGGTGTTTCGTGGAGAATTCTTTTATGTAGTCCATCCTCTAGTAATGTTTGCCCTATGGTCTTATGGCTGTGAATGATTGATGAGTAGACAGGACAAATGCAAATATTATGCAAATCTAAACTCCAGTAATGATACCAGATGTAACTCTTGATGGATCTGAAAATAGATCATTCTAATATTACCTTTTAAAACTAACAAAGCTTAAGTGTGATATATATTACAATTTACCCAGAGCCTCCTAAATACTGATTTAACAAGTTTTTTAAAATAACATTCACTGAGATAATATCTGATTAGAGTTTTGAAACAGTAGGCTTGCATAGACAGAAAGCTTTAGTGACATAGAGATCCTTTAATTTTGGTAACATTTTCTGCATCCTTTAGAAAGAAACAGGTCCATAATTTTGCTTTTAGTTCATTGATGAAATCTGCCAAGTTCCACTGAGACATGGACTTTTTAATGAGCATTTGTCTTTTTATCCTAACATGAAGAAAATATGAAAAAATTCTCTACATTTCCCAGCTCCCTCCTTCCAAATGTTTAACTTATCCTTTCTAGGCTCAGCATTGTAAAAGGGAGATCAAATGATTGGCTCCTGTGCTTTGGAGTTCCAACTGTCCCTTCTTTCCCAGGCTACAGAACATGTGTGACACCTGGACATCCCTATTTCTCCCTCCCCGCCTCGAGAAACCAGGGATCATGCGAGTGCCTTTACTTTGTGTTCCAAATATTACAGCAGGTGAACGTTTAGCCAAGGCTAATGTAACAACAACTTCTTTCAGAGCAGGTATTTATAAAACTATTAAAAGTATGACAAAGCCCAACTGTATGTACGAACAGCTCCTACATAATTGTTAAATACTTTTCTGGATTTCACCTATTCTCTCTCTCTCTCTCTCTCTCTCTCTCTCTCTCTCTCTCTCTCTCTCTCTCTCTCTGTGTGTGTGTGTGTGTGTGTGTACATTAAAATCAACCGGTCTGACTAACTTTAGTTGTTTAGTCTTTAGTTGTTAATTTACATCTGAAAAATACAAAATATTTTAAGAAGCCCAAGAGGACCTATATGAAGTATATTTTGAATTGTACATTCTATTTGAAAAATACAAATTATCTGCTATTTTAAGTTACATCAAATTTACCATTTAAAACGTGACCAAGGTTCTCTGTTTTATTGTTTGTTTTGATTTTGTTTGTTTCTTTTAACAAAACATACATGCTCTTTGGGTATTAATTTCTACTTTATATTCTTGAAATCTTAAACTGGGGTGGCAATCTGTCCTAAAATAAGCAATGTCATAAGAACAGGCAACGAAGTGTGAAGGGAACCAACAGTGCCATGTTAGCTATTGTCCCTAGAAATGATGGCCTGACATTCATTGTGAAGGTCCTTCATGGCAGGAAAGACCAAATTGAAAAGCCCCCTTGATAACCAATCAGGTTGCAATGTTTGCTTTTTATTATATGACCCATATAATGCTCCCAGCTCACATAGCATCATAGATACTTTTGGACTAAAGATTAAAGGAAGGCCTAGTTCATATGGTTGCAGTAGCCTTTCTATAGACTTATTTTATGCCCAAGGGACACTATTCCAAATCACTCACTGACATCTTATTTCTTATCACTGCAGAATGTCATTATTATTCCTCTACCATCATATGCTAGTTAGCCTTACATGTCAACTTAATACAAACTAGAACCAGATAGGAATAGGAATCACCGAGATCAGGTTGAACCATGGGCATATATGTGGGGAATTGTCTTGGTTGCTAATTAAGGTGGTGGTACCATGCCATGGACTGGGTACTGAACTATGTAACAGAAGTAAAAGGTACCTGAAAGCAAGTGAGCAGGTAGTATGGGTATATTTGTTTCTCTCTGTTCTTGACTGTGGGTGTGATGTGACCAGATGCTGAAATTTCTGCCTCAGATTCCCAGCAATAATGGACTGTAGCTTAGAATTCTACAGTAAGAACAGATTCTTCCTCCCCTACATTGCTTTTAGTACTGTACTTATCACAGTAACAGAAATGAAACTAGAACACATCGTAATAGCTTTATTTTCTATACCCCAAGACAATAACTACAATAAAACTTGTTTTCATTTTATTATTGGAGCATCTGTATTCATCAGGATCAGGATTCTTTGGAAATCTTTCAGCATTTTGTAGTTGCAATATGAAAAATAAAATAAAATATGAAGAAAAGAAATATATCCATATATACCTTTCTAAAGACACCTAGGATAGACAGCATTTGCATAACAGCATATCATTTCAAAATCATTAGAGAATGGAATCAATAATGCCCTTGGCAAGAGAAGCCATTAAATTATATATTGATTTAGCTTCTCTAGCACAGTAAAGCTATTAATAGGAAATGTGATTATTAAAGGCTGCTTTAATCGATGTAAAGTAGCAGGATGAAGTCAGCCCTGAGTTAATTCTCTAAAGCAAGACAGAAAAAGTCAGGAACCATAGCTTGCTATGTTAACCTTTTACTTCAGAACAGAAGGTAGCGATGGCAAAATTAACCAATGTAATTTTCAAAAGGAAGTGTCATGAGGAACACATGACTCAATTGTCTTTTCACTTTGTGGAGTCCAAGTGGAACCCAACCCTTGAAGACAAAGCTGCCAACTCATCCAACCACAAAGCATGCTGCATGAGTTGAGGCTGGTTTAGTGACAAGTGCAGGTAGACTGTCTGGATAATCACTGGATGCATGCTTTTGCTTCCCAGGATTTGGCAGTAGAAACGGACTTTCAAGGATTGATGGGTCACAAAATCTCCCAGTTTGCCCCATTGCCACACCAAAATCCCATTATAGGGACTCTGCCACATGGAGATCATGGATGTACACTGGCATTTCTGTGTAGTGGCATCTTGCTTTGCCTGTGAACTTGTAGTAGTGGCCACATCCTTTGGGTGTGGTTTCAGGTGCAGACCCTTTTAAGGTAGAGGAGCTGAGGACTCACATTCTCATTGGTTGCAGAGAGCATGGGAAGTTCAAAGGCTGCATCTTCTGGAGCAGGAAGACCTAGGCGGTTATTTACTCCTATCTGTGTCTTTCCCTAATAAACACTTATTTATCATTTTTCTTGGGTCTGGCAAACTCATTTAAAACCCAGCCTTCATTTCTGCTCTGTTCATTCATAGGAGGCTGTCAGTAAGTGTTATTTCATTCAGTGGACAGGTTGACAAAAATTGAGCCTGGAAGAGTTGGGTGTACATAGTCCTTTAAGTAAGCCCAACTTGTTCATGATTGCACAGATGAGGAGCAAATAGGAAAACAAGTGCCTGGCTGTTTTCAACATGTTTTCTCTAAACACAGCCAGGAGAACTCACTTGATCATTTCCATTCTTAACTACAAAAATCACATTTTCTAGAAATGAGTAAAACACATGAAAACCTTATGATATCATTAAACTATTTCTCAATGGGATTTATAGAAGTCTTTTTCATTTTTTTCTAAATATTCATCTAAGAAAGGAGTTATTTAATGGAAAAGTACAGAGAATCTCTTCTGGTCTTGGTGGCTCCTTCCGTGTACCTACACCAAGCCAATTATGATTCTATTTCTTAGTCTCTGTTATCTGATGGGTCTCAAGGGACTCAACTCCTTCAAACAGACTAACAAGGAGTCTGGTGGTGAGTCACTGATGAAGGAAAGAAAGTCATTTCTTTCTTAGTGGTGGCTGAAACAGAACATCTCTATCTCTTTACAATACACTTAATCTCTGTTAAGTTAGAGTGGTACTCCTATCTCTTCCTCCTCCTTCTCCTCCTCCTCCTTCTTCTTCTTCTTTTTCTCCTTCATTTAAACTTAAGTATAAGTTTGTCTTTCTGTGGTTTTATTT